GGACTCAGGTTTGGTTCCCAGCCCCACACAGCAGCTAACAACTATCTGTAACTCTAGTTCCAGGAAATGCGGCACCCTCTTCTGGTCTCTATGGGCACTGCACAACGTGGGTGCACTTACATACATGCAGGTAAAACACTCGTGCCCATTAATAATTTTTTTAAGAAATCAAGCAACAGCAAATGCTGGCAAGGATGTGGAGAAAGAGAAATTGTTATTCAGTATTGGTAGGAGTATGAGCTAGTGTAGTTACTGTGAAAATTAGTACAGGTATCCCCCCAAAAGCTAAAAAGAGAACTAATATATGATCCAGGCATGTGCCCAAGTGACTTCCTATCCTATTACCAAAATGCTTGTTCATCCATATTTTTTGCTGTTTTATTCAAAATAGCTTAGTAAATTATGGGGAGACTGCGCTCTCTCTGGGCGCATGGTGCGCTCACTCCCTGTGGATCCACAGACTGCTCTGGGAAGCTGCGGCTCTGGGAGCGGCAGGTGCCCTCCAGGCTTTCCCGCCGCTCAGGCCTTGTCTCTGGAGCTTCCTCTGCTACTGGAGCATTGTCCAGCCGGAATCCTGTCTCTATTCCACCCATGTACTCTTCCTCAGGATGCAAGGCTCCTGACCACTGAGCCACGCAGGGAAGGAGTACGGAGATGGCGAAAGCTGGTGTGTCCGTGGGTCAGCAACGGAGAGTGCTGCCCTCCGGGGGAATCAGGTCGCGGGTACACAAGACTCAAGGCTCGGCTCAGTCTGTGCTTACAGCTTTATTCTCTCTGGGACCCAGTCTCTGACCCAATCTTCCACTGTTAAGAGAAGGCTAGGATATTTTATACCATGGGGGTAGTGGTAAAAGCTTTGGCTGTTAGATGCTTTGTGAGGCATTCTATTTACATGTGGAAGTGGATTTCTGCCACACTGCTAGACTGCTGGCCGCCTGGAAAAATCACACAGGAAGGCATGGTCTGCTTAGAGCCAGAGGCCATGTTTATGTTATGGCATTCGTGGCGGCCACTTCAAAGGGAGAGACAGGAAAGATGCCAGGAAGACATCTTGCTATGAAAGGAGCCCGCCGCACATAACCCGAGCTGCATGAGCTGTCCGGTGTGAAGGGGCTTCCACTTTGCATAACAGAGATCTCCCAACAGTAAATGGAATCAGCCCAAATGTCTGTCAACTGATAAATGGATAATGAAATGAGGTACATACACACACACACACACACACACACACACACACACACACAGATTTTATTCTGTTGTTAAAAATGAAATTATGGAATTTTCAGGAAAATAGAACAGAAGAGAATTACAGGACAGACACAGAAAAACAAGGATCATGTTCTTCTTCCTATGTGGATCCTAACTTCTAATCTCTAATTTTGGATGTTCAATTTAGAGTTCTCATAGAGGCCAGAAATTTAGAAAGAGACTATCGTGAGGAGGATGCCTTAAGGGAGGGGTGATAGTAAAATATAGGCAATATAAAAGTAAAGAAAGGAAATAGCAGGGATGGCAAGATTTAAGCAGGGAGGTGGTGGTCAGATATGAATGATAATGGACTGAGGGAGATGATTAACCAAATGAGAGGGGGGGGCAAGGAAAAGCCATATGGAAACCTACTTGTATCAGTTGCCAAAACAGCTTATAAACAAAAGCATGTATTTTGCTTTAGTTCCAAAAGTATAAGTGTCCATCATGGTGGGGAGTCATGGCAGCAAGTGGTAGGCACTGTGACGGGAGCAAGAAGCAGAGAAATCATATCTTAACCAGAAAGGATGGAGAGAAAGAGAGAGAGAGAAGTGTAGCTAGGATACAAACCCTTAAAGACTGTCCCTAGTGATGATCCATAACTTCCCAAACAGCACCACCATCAGGAGACAAAGTATTGGAATGGAGATGAATTGTTGTAAAAAGCTCCTCCTAGGAACTGTTGGTATTAAACAAAAACAACCATACTGTGTGTGGAATACATCCTTACGAGTTATTGGTCAGGGAGGACCAAGAGGACCACTAGAACTATATGATACCACCTCATTGCTGAAGACAAAAATACAACTTGATTGTATGTTACAGAAAATTCAAGCTGGAACTGAGCTTGAAGCTTTCTCCTTGCTGGCTAGCTTTCATGGTACCAGAAAGTATCAGGTATGCAGTCTGCTAAAGGAGAAAAGTCATCAATGATTTTATCAAGCTATGAGTCCTAAAAACTATGTTAGTTTTCTAGTTTTCATTCAGTTGCTGTGATAAATACCAGGACCAAAAGTAATTGGAAGAAGAAAAGTTTTATTTTCCTTATACTTATAGGTCACAATTCACTAAGAGAAGAAGGGTCCACACTCATGGAATTCACTGGCCTTAACAAGTTCCCCATGATCCTGAAGCAGATGGCTTGACAGACCATGGAATAGCCTTTTAAATACACAGCTAAAGTACCAGTTCTATAGCAATATCCTGGAGGGCTGGGTGGGGTTCTCCAGAAGGCTGTACATACTCAGAAACCAGTACTTTTTCTTCTATATCTAGGATTCATGGGTCTAGAAATTAAGGGATGGAAATGGGAAGGGTTTCACTTTCTATCACCCGTAGTGATCCAGTATGAAAATTTTACTTCCTTTTCTGATGACCCTAGAAGTTTTGGTTCCAGAGGAAGAATGATTCTGCCTGGAGGCACAACATTCCATTGAACAGGAAGCTAAGACTTCCTCCTGGCCACCTAGGGCTCCTGAAGCCATTTAGTCAAATGTTTAAGAAAGGAGTAACAATGTTAGAAGATTCAAACTGCCAGGGGAAAATTGGATGGCTTTTGTACATGGTAGGTAAGGAAGAGTATATCTAGAATGCAAGAGATCCCTTAGGGCACCTCTTGCTGTTACCATGTCCTGTGATTAAGGTAAATGGTTTTGAAACTAAAACAACGCAATACTGGTAGGATGATACATATCCAAGGACCTCCAGGAATGAAAGTATTGAAATCTCTCCAGGTAAAGAATGAAGACCCGATGAGGAGATGATTGACAGTGGAGAAAATACAGAATGGTTATCAGAGAAGGTAGTTATAAATACCAGTAAAGCCACATGACCAGTTACAGAAATGAGGGTTCTAATTGACATGGATTTTTTTTTTGTCCTACTTGTTAAGAATACATTTGTGCATACATTAAGCAGATGTCTTTGTTTTCTTTCTTCTCCTCCTTTATCATGTAATGTAATTGACTGAGATAATATTTTCAGTTAAGTGTTTTAAATCTGTGTTATCATATTTCAGTTTGGGGATATTAGAAGGCGCTAAGCATTCATCCAGGAACTGTGTTACTGAAGTTCTGTGGAACCCAGAAGGTTACATTCCAGGCCAGATGCAGGTCATATGAGCTCTACAATATGGGGTTGTCTCTGCTAGGCTTGGTTTTGCTTTGGTGTGATTGCTCATTTGCTATGCCTTGTTCCTCTCTTTGGAATAGGAATGTTTACTTGGTATCATAATATGTCAGAACTATGTAATTATTTTTGATACTCAGAGGAACTCACAGTTAAGAGAACTGAGGTGTTTAAAACACTGGGACTTTTAAGAATTTAGGGGACCCTTTAAAGTGGGTTAAATTTTATATTCCAAAACAAACATGAGACTTAGGAAACAAGGGGTGACACATTTGTGTGCCAAGTTGACAAAATGTGGATTGTGATGGTTTTAAATGTCAGCTTACCACAATTTAAAATCTCCTGAGCAGGGAGGCTCAACTGAGAAATTGTTTTGATTACTTTCATTGACATACTAAATCCCAACCCAATTGTGGACGGTACCATAGTGTAGTATCCAAGATAAAACATGGGGTGGAGAAAGGAAGATTATTTGCCTTTTGCTTCCTTCTCTTTTCCTCTTGCTGCTGAGTTAGTTTACACTGTTGTTTCAATGGCTGACTCCTTTCCTGATAGAACTAGCATTTTCAGCCTTCCAGTGTTGACAGAGGAAGAGCTAGCTGCTCTCCAGCAATCTTTCAGGTCTTCAGCACCAGAGTAGGGCTGCTGAGGCACCCAGCTTTGTGGACTATGAAACTACTGGGTTCTTGGTATCTTGGTATAGTGTAAGTCAGCCATGGTAGGACTACTCTGATTGCTGAGGCACCCAAACCCAAGGACTGAGCAACTATTGGGTTCTTAGCCTCCTCTCAGGTGTGAGACAACTGTTGCTATTTTGACAAAAGATAATTTAATCAATTATTTATATGCATTTATTCTTTCTATCAGTTCTATTCCTCTAGGGGATGCTGAATAACACATATACTAATATACCAGGCAAGTTGTGCCAACTTGTGAAATAAGTGGCATGGTTCTTTTTTTTTTTTAATTTTTTTCGTTTTATGTGTATACGTGTATTGCCTGCATGTTGGTAAGTTCACCCATGTCGTGCAATGCCTGCAGAGGACAGAAGAGGCTGTTGGATCCCCTGGAACGGGAGTTATGAACAGTTGTTAGTTGCCATGTGGGTGCTGGGATTCAAATCCGGGTCTTCTGCAAGAACAGCTAGTGTTCTTAACCTCTGAGCCATCTCTCCAGCCCAAGTGGCATGATTCTTATGAGGTTAGCCAATTGTTCTCTGATTGGAATTTAGGCCCATTTCACAGGAGGAACTCCATATCCTGTACTATAAGTCCCCTCAAAAGCCCATTAAATAGGTGGTTATAAGCCCTAAAGGGAAGCTTTTTTATATATATAATTCACTGAGTACAATGAGCATTGCCTAAATATGCATGGCCATCCAAGGGAGCACGAACAATTGACTATCTTACCCCGCCCCAGTAGCCATCAACTGCTCCTCAGCTAAGGATAGGGTCTTGTGGGGCCCTCCCCCATCCATGTTGGAATTTATATTGCCTTGATCTGTACAGGTCTTCTGCAAGAAGTCACAGCTTCTGTGAGTGGATAAGCACATTGTTCCTGTATGTCCAAACGAATCTTTCTTTCTTTCTTCTTTCTTTCTTTCTTTCTTTCTTTCTTTCTTTCTTTCTTATGTGTAACACTTCATGAATTTGTGTGTCATTCTCACACAGGGACCATGTTAATCTCTGTATCATTCCAATTTTAGCATATGTGCTGCCGAAGCAAGCACAAGACACTATTTCTTAGTGGTGCTTCTCAACTTCTGGGTCTTACAATTTTTTGTCCTCTATTCCATAGTGTTCCATGAGACCTGAAGGAAGGGGTGTAAGATAGATGCCCCACATACGGCTAAGCATCCCACAGTCATTTGATCTCAGGACTTTGAACAGTTGTGAATCTCTGTATTAACCAACGTTAACTGTGAAAACACCTTCTCTGATGAGGCTGAATGCTGCAGTAATTCATTAATATGAAGATAAATGCTTAGAAACGGCTTGATACTGTGCCCATTTAGCAAAATAATAATAGTAGGCTTTCTCCAATAGGGGACCTTAATTTTGCTATTTGACTAAATTGACATAGCACTGAATTGTCTTATAAATATATACCTTTACACCCTAGACAAATACCAGGCTCAGCCTTAATTAGAGAAGGCCCTCATTAGAGTGAACTTTGGTTGGTGCAGAGACTCATGTCTATACACAAAGTCTCAAGAATAAATGACAGTTCAATGCTTAGCTCTAAAGAAAATAGCTATAACATCTGTGCTGGTTTCTGTTTCTGTCAACTTCATATAAACTGGGAAGAGGGAATCTCAATGAAAGAATTTCCTCCATCAGACTGGTCTATGGCATGTCTGTGAAGCATTTCCTTAATTGTTAATTGATGTAGGAGGACCATCCCACTGTGGGTGGTGCCATCCCTAGCAGGTTGTCGTGGACTATATAAGAAAGGTAGCTGTCCAACCCTAAGTGACATATCTACAATGGAACCTCTACACCTAAGACTCACAGAATATAGTGGAACAGGGGGTAGATACAATACTAATGCATCTCTCATCTTTCATAAGCAAAGCTTCCTCATGCAACAGAAGGCCATGAACACAAAAGGCCACAACTGGTCAAAGTATAGAGAATGAGAGACTGAAGAGTGTGGGTCCTACTCAAGGCTCAGGGACCATTGCAAAAAAGGAGGCAGAAAGATTGTAAGAACCAGGGGAAGAGGTACATTATCAGAAAGAAACAGTCTTACAAGTGCCTCGGACCTTATTCATGTAAACTTACAACAACGGTGACAGGATGCATAAGATTCATTTAAGAGATGGAAAAGAAGGGCTACAAAATGCCATCTACTGGGCAATGCACAGATGTTCTAATAATGAACTTTAACAACTGCAGATGACCACACTGGGTCTGCACAAGAATTGGCTCATTAACAACAATGCATGGAGAGACCCAAGGAGGTTTACCCCTCACTGCTGAACTGTTTCTTGATAGACTTGGGAAAGAGAGTGTCCTTGCCCTATAAGCTCATTTAATTAGCCCAGCTTTTACTGAAATATTTTTAGAAGTTCTTTGGAATTCTTTATATGATCAAAATGTTAATCCTTTGTCAAATGCATAGCTAGCAAACATTCTCTCCCATTCTGTAGACTCTCCATTTTATTAACTGTTTCCTTTGCTGTGCAAAAGCTTTTTAATTTCACTCAATATCATTTGTCAATTCTTGGTTTTATGTGCTAAACTGCTAGAGTCCTTTCTAGAAATTCAATGCCTATGCTTATATTTTGAAGTACTTTACATGCATTTTCTCTAACAGCTACAGACTTTAAAGAACTATATTAAGAGCTTCAATTCATTTGGAATAAAGTTTGTATAGGGTGAGAGATAGGGAATCGTTTTCCTTCTCCTACATCTGTATATCATTTCCCCAGCACCATGTGGTGAAGATGTTGTCATTTTTCGAAGGTACGATTTTTATGTTTTTGTCAAAAATGAGGTTACTATAGCTGGGTGCAATTATTTTTGGACTTCAGACTCTTGAACGCTCCCCTTTCTTCTCTTGTCCTCAGCCTTTCAGGCCTCCTTTATCTGTGAAAGGGCTTCTCTTAAGTAGTTTAAGAGCTTCTTGTGTTCTTCACTCACACAGTTTTGATAAGTGTATCTTTAATAAAGATTTCTTTAAAGATTTGTCTATCTGAAGGCGACAAAGCCTGTGTCCTTTTCATTGATGCATCAATAGTACCTATTGAATGACATTCAATGAATATTAATGTATCAGCATAATTTTCAAAAATATTTATATATGAAGCTCAGCTGTGCACACTGCGCCTTCAACACCCCAGCCATGTTCACCCTCCCAGCTCCCCCACACATTCACTTCTCCTAACGTGGACACTGGCCCATTTCTTCTCTTGGCACCCCGGACCTCTGGACTGCCCTCTTGGCCCAGAATCCCAACTGCTTCCTGATCCTTTACACCCAGACCAACCTAATACCTCTGTCTAGTCTCTGGACACGGTCAAGGACTCTTCCCTCCCCCACTTTACCTCTGAATGCCTGAGATAGGCCCTCATCCCAGGCCAGCCCAACCCCCAAATTTCCCAGGCCAACATCTTTCCTGGAGGCATCCAGACCTTAGGAGAAAGCCTAAGAACATTTGATCCTCATCTGACTTGGGCCTCTGTGGGAACTCCTGAGCAGCAGGACAAAAGCCATCTGGCCACTCCAATATAAAATCAAAAGAGAAAACCCGAAGCCTAGACCAATCAGCTTTTCATGCCTGACAAGTAAACCACAAAGGCACATAAAGTTTACAAAAAGAAGGAAACCTAAATTCAACAAAGGAAGGCTTGAGTCTCACACAAGAATCAGAAACTAGAAAAGAAATTCACATGTCAAAGTCACAGCGAAAAAATAATAACATGAAAAACTCAAATAATATACCTCCACCAAGTACCAACATTCCTATAGAGGAGCACAATGAGAACCCCCTAGAGATAGCACAGGACATGGAATTCAAAAGAACAATTATAAACATGATAAAATAATTCAGTGAATTTAAAGAACACACAAAGAAAGAAATCAAAGAACTAAAGAAAATAAGCTTCTGAATGAGTAGAGAAAGGAGTTAGAAATATTGAAGAATACTCAGGCTGAAATGAAGAAGAAAGTGAAACACTCAGTAAGCCAATTAGAAATGGCAGGAGAAAGCCTCACCAATAAGATGAATGAAATGGAAAACAATATCAAGACTGGAAGATAAAGTGCATGAATTAGACCACTCAAGCAAAAGACTATGAAAAAATTTTAAAAACACAAGAATGGAATATGCAGGAATTGTGTGATACCATAAAAAGACCAAATGTATACATCACAAGCATAGAGGAAGGAGAAGAATCTCAGGATAATGGTATGGACCAGATCTTCAACAGGATTGTAGAAGAAAATTTTCCAAAATTAAAAAAAGACATGTACATACAAATAGAAGAAGCATATAGAACACCAAATAGACTGGACCAGAAAATAACCTCCACAGCATATCATAGTAAAAACACTAAACGTGGCTCAGCAGTTAAGAACACTGGTTGTTCTTGCAGAAGACCTGGGTTTGAATCCCAGCACCCACATGGCAGCTAACAACTGTTCTAACTCCAGTTCCAGGGGATCTGACAGCCTCTTCTGTCCTCCACAGGCATTGCACAACATGGGTGCACTTACCTTCAGAGAATACTGAAAGCTGCAAAGGAAAAACAAGCCACATAAAAAGGAAAACCCACTAGAACTACAGCTGACTTTTCAGTGCAAACTATGAAAGCCAGAAGAGCCTGGACCAAAGTATTCCCAGTTCTAAATGACCACAGATGCCAACCCAGGTTACTTTACCCAGCCAAAATGTCTATTATAGTTGATGGGGAAAAAAAAATCTTCCATGACATAAATAGGCTGAAAGAATTCATGTCCACAAATCCACCCCTTCAGAGAGTTCTTGAAGCAAGACATACAGCTGAAGAAAGGAACAACTATACCCAAGGGATAATAGAAAGAAATTTAATGAAGGTGTGACTGAGGAAATGTACAGCTGCACCAAGAATGTAAACAGAAAACAAAATGGCAGGAATCAATACACGTCTTTCATTAATAAATTTAAAAACCCATCTCACTTTCAAAGACAGGTAATACCTTAAGGTGAAAGGATGGAAAAAAATATTCCAAGCAAATGGTACTAAAAAAAGGCAGGAGTTACAATTCTAATATCTGACAAAATAGACTTCAAATTACAACCAATCAGAAGAGAAAAAGAGGGCCACTTTATTCTGATCAAAGGAACAATTGACCAAGAAGATATTAAAATCAAGAACATATAGTCACCAAACTCTAGTGCACCCAACTTGATAAAAACAGTACTACAGGACTTTAAACCCAAATTAATCACAACTCCTTAATAGTAGGGGATTCAATACCCAATTGTCTCCATTAGATAGGTCAACAGAAGAGAGAATTAACAGAGAGACATCTGAATTAAGCAATACCATACATCAAATGGGCCTAACAGACATCTACCAAATATTCTATCCAAGCACCAAAGAATATACTTTCTATTCAGTGCCCCATGGAACCTTCTCCAAAATCAACCACATACTGGGGCACAAAACAAGCCTCAAAAAATACAAAAAGATTGAAATAATTCCATGCATTCTATCAGACCACAATGCAGTAAAGCTTAAAATCAACACCGGAAGAAACCATAGTAACTACATGAACACATGGAAATTAAACAGAACACTCATGAATGATGAATGGGTCAAAGGAGAAATTAAGAAAGTAATAAAAGTATTCATGGAACTAAATGAAAAGGATAATACAACACAACAAAACCTCTGGGAGATGTTGAAAGCAGTCCTTAGAGGGAAGTTTGTAGCTCTACATGCCTACATTTAAAAATCAGAAAGAACACAAATAAATGACTTAACATTGCAACTCAAGACACTTGAAAATCAACAAGTGAAACCCAAACCCTGAGAAGAAATAACAAAAATCAGAGCAAAAATTAATGAAATAGAAACAAAGGTAAGAATACAAAGAATCAATGAATCCAAGAGCTGGTTCTTTGAAAAGATAAACAAGATTGACATACCCTTATCCCCATTAACCAAAAGAAGGAAAGAGAACCTCCAAATCAAAAAAAATCAGAGATGAAAGGGAAAGTGTCACAACAGACACAAAAATA